CGTACCATATAAAGTTTTCGAAAAAATCAAAAAAACTTTCAAAGATTGAACTTCAAATTTCAGGGTTTATACAGCTTAAAGTTTAGGCTTACAATAATGCGATGTATGTACGAAAAAGCTTACAAAAATAAAAAAATGATCAAGATTTTTAGTTTACTCTACTAACAGTGCCCTCGAATTGTAAAACTGTATACAAAAGCATATTTATTGCTATTGTTAGTATTTACTTATTGCTAGAATCTTTGTTAAGCTGTAATATAATTTACAAATTTTGCACGACTGCTTGAGTAGAGTTACAAAAACTCAACTTTTTCGTTCATAAATGTTGTTGGTTGTTCGGTAATAAAAAAATAAATGAATAAATAAGTAAATAAAAAATAACGAAAGATTTGTGTTGCAAAAATGCTTCAAAAGTTGCTCAGACTTGGTCTACAAATTGACACTTAATTTTTTTCAAAAATCTAGTACAATATAGTAGCTTCTACATTTCATTACATTGCACTGAATAAAATTATCCTGCTAATCTGCTGTTGACAGATTTTTGTCGATATATCACAAGGAAAACGAGTTTTTTTAACCCTTCAAAATTTCCATCTTCATCAAATGATGAAATGCTTTATCTGTGAAATATGCAGGTCGTTACTGTAAGATATTAAACGAATAAACCGTATTTTGCTTTCTTTATTTTTTTTTTGGCAAACGTAAACACTTTGAACAACCGTGATATGTCATTGTAGGATTTTTGTTGACATATTTTCAATACCCTTCAAACAGGTTGAATACCAGGAAACATTATGTTTACGTACCTATTGCCATTTGAAGTTTTTAAAATTTATATATTAAAATGAGCAATTTTGCACCTGTATCATACAGTGACAGAAAATTTGCGGTAAACTCTGAGACATTCTGTGTTTACTATGTGTATTGGTGAAAACAGTTGCAATTGTTACTTTCTTCATTTCATGTTGCAGACACGTTTTTGGATTCTAAACAGTTACAGTTCTGCACTCTGTTACTTCCCTTAATCAGCTAACTGAGTAACCTCAACTA